AGTAAGTATCATAATAATATATTTGACACAACTCTGGGCATGTGGCCCTTGCTCGAGACTTTCCTGTCTAGGAAAGGGTGAGATGTGTTAGGGCTAAGTAAGGGTTGGGTGCTTTTATTTTGTATATTAATAAGTGAATTATTGTAATATATTTGACACAACTTTGGGCATGTGGCCCTTGCTCGAGACTTTCCTGTCTAGGAAAGGGTGAGATGTGTTAGGGCTAAGTAAGGGTTGGGTGCTTTTATTTTGTATATTAATAAGTGAATTATTGTAATATATTTGACACAACTTTGGGCATGTGGCCCTTGCTCGAGACTTTCCTGTCTAGGAAAGGGTGAGATGTGTTAGGGCTAAGTAAGGGTTGGGTGCTTTTATTTTGTATATTAATAAGTGAATTATTGTAATATATTTGACACAACTTTGGGCATGTGGCCCTTGCTCGAGACTTTCCTGTCTAGGAAAGGGTGAGATGTGTTAGGGCTAAGTAAGGGTTGGGTGCTTTTATTTTGTATATTAATAAGTGAATTATTGTAATATATTTGACACAACTTTGGGCATGTGGCCCTTGCTCGAGACTTTCCTGTCTAGGAAAGGGTGAGATGTGTTAGGGCTAAGTAAGGGTTGGGTGCTTTTATTTTGTATATTAATAAGTGAATTATTGTAATATATTTGACACAACTTTGGGCATGTGGCCCTTGCTCGAGACTTTCCTGTTTCCGGGGGGGTTTTCAGGATAAATAAGAGTTTACGAGTGAAGGGGGGGTAGGGGGGGTTTACCCAAAAAAACTTGCAGGTGCCGAAGGGGGTACGTGTTAGATATGTTTGGGGAAAATTTAACTATTTATGCTCATGATATCAGTTATGCAATTCTTCTAATACAAGTTTTTTAACATTAATTAAACTGGTTTAAAGCAAAGTAAATGTACTACCTTGTCAGCATACCTTAGCGCTGCACTGTGAAATGCCAAATGAAAGGAGGACAAAAAAAAATAACCATGTCCTTTAGGATGAATGCTCGCATGTGGGGTCACGGTCTTTTTAGTCTTACCACCAACTGACCAAGGATCTGCTGAGTGGAAAGAATGGGGATCGACTTATCAATCAATGTTCTTGAAATAGTGATCTAGATGTGTTAAACATTCCAGATGCAACTAAAGCAGGTTTGATTAACTTCATTTGGGGCTAACTTTGTTAAATAATATTATGGGAGACTTGTTTGAATGGGTTAGTAATTTTATTGTTATTTAAGAGTTTTATGTCATATTATAATTGAATATAAATTGTAGTATGCAGTTATGTGTTCCTTCTTTAAATGTATTTTGTTATACCTTGAAAGACATTTGATGAATGAATGGTCAAAGTAAATTAATGGGGATAATACATATATTTGTTTATTTAACATACAGTATATGTTCGATATAAATATATGGGGAAATTACATATATGTAATCAAAGAATAGTTAAATTTAGAATGCTAGCTTTGGGAGCTAGGGGTGGGAGTTAAAATCTCCCTTCTTTGAAGCAGTAGGGAGGATTTTAACCTCCGGCGGCCGGTTTACAAGACCGGCGCTCTAACACTGAGCTACAGCTGCAAGCTGTTTGAAGAAGTTTGTTTTCTATCAGCCCTGCTATTGGGAAAAGGCAGAGGAAGATAAAAAAGTAGAGGAAGGATGCAATTTGTCCAATGATAATATAAGGGTGTTCTACAGGCATTCCTCCAATTCATGTAAGAATAATTACATCTGCTACAAGGGTTCAAAATAGGAATTGGGATAGGGGTCGGAATGTTAAACCTCGTTGTTTTGATGTGTGAAGGAAGGGGACTACTATAAGGACTAAGATAGAGGCAAGTAAGGCAAGGACTCCTCCAAGTTTGTTAGGAATAGACCGAAGGATGGCATAGGCGAATAGGAAGTATCACTCTGGCTTGATATGAGGGGGTGTTACAAGTGGGTTGGCAGGTGTAAAATTGTCTGGGTCTCCTAAGTAATTAGGGGCAAATAGTGCTAGGGATGTCAGGGCAGTGAGTATGATGGCGAAGCCTAGGAGGTCTTTGTATGAGAAGTATGGGTGGAATGGAATTTTGTCTGCATCTGAGTTTAAACCCAGGGGGTTGTTGGATCCTGTTTCATGAAGAAATAGAAGATGGAGAACTGTAACAGCAAGGATAACAAAAGGGAAAAGAAAGTGGAAGGCAAAGAACCGGGTTAGGGTAGCATTGTCAACTGAGAAACCTCCTCAGATTCATTGAACTAGGGTGTTGCCCACATATGGGACAGCAGATAAGAGGTTAGTAATTACTGTAGCTCCTCAGAAGGATATTTGTCCTCATGGTAGGACGTAACCTACAAATGCAGTTATTATTACTAAAAGAAGTAGAATAACACCAATGTTTCATGTTTCCATATAAAGGTATGAGCCGTAGTAAAGTCCTCGGCCCACATGAAGGTAGATGCAGATGAAGAAGAAGGAAGCTCCATTGGCATGTAGGTTTCGGATTAGTCATCCGTAGTTTACATCTCGACAGATGTGGGCTACAGATGAGAAAGCAGAGGAAATATCAGCGGTATAGTGTATTGCAAGGAATAGGCCAGTAACAATTTGGATAATAAGGCACAATCCTAAGAGGGAACCAAAATTTCATCATGCAGAAATGTTTGATGGGGCTGGGAGGTCTACAAGTGCGTCATTTGCGATTTTTAATAGTGGGTGGGTTTTTCGTAGGCTAGTCATTAGAGTTTCCTGTAGTTGAATAACAACGGTGGTTTTTCAAGTCATTGGTCCTGGTTAAAATCCTGGCAGGAATGATGGTTTATATTATGTGTGTTTTTATGTTAGGTCTTGTGCTGGGTGTGGTGGTGGTTGCTTCAAACCCTTCTCCATATTTTGGGGCCTTGGGGTTGGTTGTTGTTTCAGGCATGGGGTGTGGAATGTTAATGGGGCATGGGGCTCCCTTTTTGTCATTGGTGTTGTTTTTAATTTACTTGGGAGGGATGTTGGTCGTGTTTGCTTATTCTGCTGCTTTGGCTGCTGAGCCATTTCCTGAGACTTTAGGTAGTCGGTCGGTTGCTGTGAATGTAATGGGCTATCTTGTAGGGGTGGTTGTTGGGGCTAGCTTTTTTTGAGATGGGTGATTTGGGGGTTTGTGGTTAACAGTTGATGAAGGGGCGGAGTTTTCTTTATTACGGGCAGATGTTGGAGGGGTTGCTGTTATGTATTCTTCAGGGGGCTTGATGCTAGTACTGAGTGCATGAGTGCTTCTTTTAACTCTTTTTGTTGTGTTAGAGGTTTGTCGTGGGCTAAGTCGGGGGGCTCTTCGGGCTGTCTAAAGGGTTAATAGTAGAAGGGCCAGGGTGAATGTTAGGAAGAAAAGGGCTAGGAAGGTTTTTACTATTCCTTGTTGAGCATTGCTTGTTGTTGTAATTAAGGGGAGATTGGTTGAGAAGACAGCTTTGGGTCCGACTTTTTCTAGTCATGTTTGGTCCACTATTTGAGAGGCAATGTATTGTCCTAAGATTAGGTTTATTTTAGGGGGGAGGCGGTGAATAACAGCTGGGAAGAATCCAAGCATGTTGGAGAAGTGGTGGGTTGTTAGGGTGGGGGTTGGTTTGTACTGTTTGGTTGTTAGGTTAGCCAGCTCTAGTGCAATAAGAAGGCCAGTGATTGTGACTAGCAGGGCTGCTAGTTTTAGAAGGGGTGGTATTGTTATTACTGGGGTTTTAGGGAGGATAATGTTGGCAGTAATAAATAGGCCGGCCACAATGCTGCCTCAGGCAAGTCGTTTGATTGGGTTGATTACTGCAGGGTCATTTTCATTAATAGGGGATAGTGTGTTGAATCGTGGGTGGCCCATGGTTACAAAGAAAACTACACGAAGACTATAGATGGCAGTGAAGGAGGTGGCAATGAGAGTTAAGACAAGGGCTCAGGCATTAAGGTGGGATGTGTTTAGGGCTTCAATGATTGCATCTTTAGAGAAAAACCCTGCCAAGAAGGGAGTGCCTGTTAAGGCAAGGCTGCCAATTGTTAAGCAGGAGGAGGTAAACGGGGCAAGGTGGTGTATTCCTCCTATTTTGCGAATGTCTTGTTCGTCATTTAGGCTATGGATTAGGGAACCAGAGCAGAGAAATAGTATGGCTTTAAAGAAGGCATGGGTGCAAATGTGTAGGAAGGCAAGTTGAGGTTGGCCTAGGCCGATGGTAACTATTATTAGACCTAGCTGACTTGAGGTTGAGAATGCAACAATTTTTTTAATGTCATTTTGGGTGAGGGCGCATGTTGCTGTAAAAAGGGTTGTTAGGGCGCCTAGGCATAAGCATGTTGTTAAGATTATTGGGTAGTTTTCTATTAAGGGGCTTGTTCGGATGAGTAGAAAAATCCCAGCAACCACTATTGTGCTTGAGTGCAGTAGGGCAGATACCGGGGTGGGACCCTCTATAGCAGAGGGAAGTCACGGGTGGAGGCCAAATTGAGCAGATTTGCCAGTTGCAGCAATGATAAGGCCCAAGAGGGGAAAGGTGAGGTCAAGGTTGTGGGGGGTAGAAAAAATTTGTTGAAGTTCTCATGAGTTTAGGTTTGTGGCCATTCAGGCTATTGCGAAGATTAGTCCAATGTCTCCGACTCGGTTATATAGTACTGCTTGGAGCGCAGCAGTGTTTGCGTCTGCTCGACCATATCATCACCCGATGAGAAGAAAAGATATGATGCCTACACCTTCTCATCCAATGAAAATTTGGAATATGTTGTTGGCTGTAACTAAAATGATTATGGCAATAAGGAAGGTTAGAAGGTATTTAAAAAATCGGTTTATGTTTGGGTCAGCATGTATGTATCAGGAGGCAAACTCTAGGATGGACCAGGTTACATAGAGGGCAACAGGGGTAAAGATAAGTGAGTAAAAGTCAAATTTTAGGCTAATGTTTACATCAAATAATAGGGTATTTATTCAGGTTCAGTTGGTGGTAATGATTTCTGCACCTTCAGAGATGAATAGGAATAAGGGGAGAAGGCTAACAAAAAATGCTAGTTTAACAGCTGTTTTGACTTGTTTAATGGCTCAATTTTGGGGTTTTGGAGTTGGGGAAAGTGTTGTGAGTAAGGGGTAGAAAAGTAGGGTAAAAATAATAATGAGGCTTGTGGATATTATTAGAGGGGTGGGGTGCATAGCTTTCACTTGGATTTGCACCAAGAGTTTTTGGTTCCTAAGACCAACGGATGAGCTGTTATCCTTTGAAAGCAGTCGAGGGAGCTTCGGAATTCAACCGAGGGCACAAGGATTAGCAGTCTTTGTTGCTGGCAAGCCTCTCTCGGTGGACAAGGGGGTTTTAACCTCTGTCTTTAGAATCACAATCTAATATTTTTGTTAAACTATGTCTACATGAGGTTCATCCTCAAATTAGCTCTGGTTTTGCAATTAGTAGGATAAGGGGTAGTAAGTGGAGTGCTAGGAGAAGGTGTTCTCGGGTGTGGGAGGGGTCGAGGGCAATAATGTGTTGGGGGACAGGGCCTCGTTGTGTTATTAGGAATATGTAGAGTGAGTATCCAGCTGTAATTAGTGTCCCAGCCCCTGTAAGTGCAATTGTGGCTCAGGATCAGTTGAATAGGGAGGTGATGATTATCAGTTCACCTATAAGGTTAGGGAGAGGTGGAAGGGCCAGGTTTGCTAGGCTGGCAATGAATCATCAGGAGGCTATTAGTGGTAGAATCATTTGTATTCCTCGGGCTAGAACTATTGTTCGGGTGTGGGTGCGTTCATAATTGGTGTTTGCAAGACAGAAAAGGGCAGAGGAGGTCAATCCATGGGCAATTATTAGAATAAGGGCTCCCGTGAATCCTCAAGGTGTTTGGATTAAAATACCCCCAGCTACAAGACCTATATGTCCAACAGAGGAGTAGGCAATTAGTGACTTTAGGTCAGTTTGTCGTAGGCAGATGGAGCCTGTTATTACAACTCCTCAGAGGGCCAGGATAATGAAGGGGTAGCTTAATTCTTTGGTTAGGGGCTCTAGTACAATTATTATGCGCATTATGCCATAGCCCCCAAGTTTTAGAAGGACAGCAGCCAGTACTATTGAGCCTGCAATTGGGGCTTCTACATGGGCTTTGGGCAGTCACAGGTGTATGCCATAGAGTGGTATTTTTACAAGGAAAGCAAGTAGGCAGCCTGCTCATCAGATCTTATCAGCAGCTGAAGCCATGGGGAAGGCAGGGGTGTATTGGAGGGTGAGAAGAGAGAGGGTACCTGTGGCATTTTGTAGTAGGAGTAGGGCAACTAGGAGGGGAAGTGATCCTGCAAGAGTATAAAATAAAAAGTATGTTCCAGCATTCAGGCGTTCTGTTTGGTTTCCTCAACGGGTGATGAGAATTAGAGTTGGCACTAGGGTGGCTTCAAACATAACATAAAATAGGAGTACTTCGGTTGCAGAGAAGGCTATGATAAGGAAGATTTGAAGTGAGGTGAGTAGGGTAATGTATATTCGTTGGCGGTTGGTTGGTTCAGTTGACATGTGATTTTGGCTTGCTAGGATTATCAGGGGGAGAAGTCAGCAGGTTAGGACAAGGAGGGGTGTTGATAAGGGGTCGAGGGCTATGAAGTGGTTAATAGAGTTTCAGCCAGTTATATGGGGGTAGTATAGTCATGATATGCTTAAGATTGCAATAATTAGACTATGAGCAAGAGCTGTGGGTCACACTAGTTTTGTAGGGGTAAGTCAAGTGGTAGGGATGAGCATAATTGTTGGGAGTAGGATTTTTAGCATTGTAAGAGGTTGAGGCTTTGTAGGTGGTCGGTTCCATGTGTTCGGGCTGTAGCAACTAGTAAGGCAAGGCCTGCACTTGCTTCACAAGCAGAAAATGCAAGAAGAAGTATGGGAGAAGCTGAAAAGCTTGTTGCATTGAGTTCAAGGGTTCAAAGGGAGAGGGCAAGGAAGAGTGAGAGCATCATGCCTTCAAGGCAGAGGAGGGCAGATAGCAGGTGAGTTCGATGAAATGCAAGGCCTGCTAGGCCTAAAATAAAAGCTGTTGAGAAAGTGAAGTGTGTCGGGGTCATTAGGTAATTGTGGACTTTAACCACGAGCTTTTGAGCCGAAATCAAATATTTTAATTAAAATAATTACCTATTCAGCTCATTCGAGGCCCCCTTGTAGTCACTCATAGATGAGACCAAGGGTAAGTAGGACTAGTACAAGGGCAGCTCAGAAAAAGGTGGTTAGGGGGTTTGGGAGTTGGTCCCCTCAGGGAAGGGGAAGGAGTAGGGCAATTTCTAGGTCAAACAGTAGAAATAAGATGGCTACTAGGAAGAATCGCATTGAGAAAGGAAGGCGGGCAGATCCAAGGGGGTCAAACCCACATTCATAGGGGGATAGTTTTTCCTGATCAGGGGTGATTAGAGGGAGTCAGAAGGAAACAACTGCTAGTACTATTGAGAGGGCAGTGGTAATGAAGATTACAGTAGAAATAAGATTCATTATCTTTCCTTGGATTTTAACCAAGACCAGGTGATTGGAAGTCACTTATACTAACATTAGTACTAGAAAGATATGAGCCTCATCAGTAGATAGAGATATAGAGGAATAGTCAGACTACGTCAACAAAGTGTCAGTATCAGGCTGCTGCTTCAAACCCAAAGTGGTGTTCAACTGTAAAGTGGTAGTTAAGTTGGCGAAGTAGACAAACTGCTAAAAATGTTGTACCAACAATGACGTGTAATCCGTGGAATCCTGTGGCTACAAAGAAGGTTGAGCCATATACACCATCAGCAATTGTGAATGGGGCTTCATAGTATTCCATGGCTTGGAGGAATGTGAAGTAGCACCCTAGAAGAATAGTTAGTGCTAAAGATTGAATGGCTTGTTTTCGTTCACCCTCTATGATGCTGTGGTGAGCTCATGTTACTGTGACACCAGAAGCTAGGAGAACGGCTGTGTTTAGGAGGGGTACACCAAAGGGGTCTAAGGGGGTAATACCTGTGGGTGGTCAGCAGCCACCAATTTCTGGGGTGGGAGCTAAGCTTGAATGGAAGAAGGCTCAGAAAAAACCTAGGAAAAAGAAGACTTCTGAGGTAATAAAAAGGATTATACCATATCGCAGGCCTTTTTGAACAGGAGGGGTATGATGTCCTTGGTATGTGCCTTCTCGGACAATGTCTCGTCATCATTGGTACATAGTTAATAGGAGGAGGACTATCCCAATTGCTATTAGGGATATTTTGTTGTAGTGGAATCAGATAGCTAGTCCAGAGGTTATTAGAAGTGCAGCAACTGCTCCTGTCAGGGGTCATGGGCTGGGGTCTACTATGTGGTATGCATGTGCTTGGTGGGCCATTAAACGTTTTCTTGGAGGTAAAGGCTTAAAAGGAGGACAAATACATAAGCCTGGATTATAGCTACAGCAATTTCTAGGACTGTGAGTATAACTAGAACAATGGATGTTAGAATTGCTACAGTGGGTATAATGCATAGGAGGGAGTAAGCTGCTGTGGAGATTAGGTGCATAAGTAAGTGGCCTGCTGTTAGGTTGGCTGTAAGCCGTACCCCCAGGGCTACAGGGCGAATAAAAAGACTAATAGTTTCAATGATAATAAGTACTGGAATAAGTGGGATAGGGGTACCTTCTGGAAGAAAGTGGGCTAGGGATTTTGTGGGTTGGTTTCGCATTCCAATCAGGACAGTAGCAAGTCAAAGGGGGACTGCCAGGCCTAGATTAACAGATAGTTGAGCTGTTGGTGTAAAAGTGTAGGGTAGGAGTCCTAGTATATTAAGAGATATTAAGAATAGTATTAGAGCAGCAAAGATAAGGGCTCATTTATGGCCCCCTGTATTAAGGGGTTTTAGTAGTTGGGCTGTGAAGTTACTAATGAAAGAGTTTTGCAGAGTTAACATGCGGTTAGTGATTCATCGGTTGGCAGGGGCAGGGAAGAGAAGTCATGGTAAAACAAAAGCAAGGGCAATCAAAGGAATGCCTAATAGTACAGGGCTAATAAATTGGTCAAAAAGGCTGGTTGCTATCATGATCAGGTTCAGTGAGTGGTTTTATCTGTTTGTGTGGTTTGGGGGGCAGGTTCATTTGGGAATTCATGGTTGAGTGTTTTTGGGATAGCAATTGTGGTAAAGACAAGTCATGAGAAAACTAAGAGGGCAAACCATGGGGAGGGGTCTAGTTGAGGCATGTCACTAAGGGTGGTTGGGAGGCACCAATCTTCAGCTTAAAAGGCTGACGCTGTGGGCCCAGTTTAGCTTCTTAGTGAGGCGTCTTCAAGTATTAGGGTGGATCAGTCTTGGAAGAAGTTTAGGGGGACTGCTTCAACCACAATAGGTATAAAGCTGTGGTTTGCACCACAAATCTCTGAGCATTGGCCGTAGAAAACCCCTGGGCGTGAGGCAATAAAAGCTGTTTGGTTTAATCGTCCTGGGACGGCATCCATTTTTACCCCCAGGGCAGGAACAGCTCATGAGTGGAGTACATCTTCTGCAGTTACTAGGACTCGAACAGGGGCTTCAGTTGGAACAACCATGCGGTGATCAACTTCTAAAAGTCGGAATTGTCCGGGAGTTAAGTCTTGGGTTGGGACTATATAGGAGTCAAATGCAATTTCTTGGTAGTCAGTGTACTCATAGCTTCAGTATCATTGGTGTCCAATTGCTTTGACTGTGAGGTGGGGGTTGGTTACTTCATCTATTAGGTACAGAATCCGCAGGGATGGGAGAGCAATGAGAATGAGGATAATGGCTGGGAGGATAGTTCAAATAATTTCGATTTCTTGGGAGTCTAGAATGTACATGTTTGTGAGCTTAGTTGAAACTATTGCCACAATAATGTAAAGAACAAGAGTGCTGATAAGGAATACAATTATCAGGGCGTGGTCATGAAAGTGAAGAAGCTCTTCTATAACTGGTGATGCTGCATCTTGAAATCCTAGTTGTGAGGGATGTGCCATTAAGTAAGATACGTGGGGATTTAACCCACGATTTTGCCCTGACAAAGCAATGTATTATCTTCTATACTAGTATCTTATTAAGAAAGTGACAGAGAGGTTATGTGTCCGGCTTGAAACCGGTTTATGGAGGTTCGAGTCCTTCCTTTCTCGTTAGTGGTTGGCTTGAACTTGAACAAATGCAGGTTCTTCAAATGTGTGGTAAGGAGGTGGGCAGCCATGCATTCATTCAATATTTGTTGCTGTTAGTTCAACAGAAGAGACTACTCGTTTAGCAGCAAAAGCTTCTCAGATGATAAACAAGAATAAAATAACAGCAGTTAGGGAGATTAGGGAGCCTAGGGAAGAGACTGTGTTTCATAGTGTGTAGGCATCTGGGTAGTCAGAGTATCGTCGGGGCATTCCAGCCAGGCCGAGGAAGTGTTGGGGGAAGAAAGTCAGGTTTACTCCTACAAATATTACACCAAAGTGGATTTTTGATCATGTGTCATGAAGAGTGTAGCCTGAAAGAAGGGGGAATCAGTGAACAAAGCCGGCTATGATGGCAAAGACGGCCCCCATGGATAGTACATAGTGGAAGTGGGCTACTACATAATAAGTATCGTGTAGTATGATGTCTAGTGAAGAATTAGCTAGCACGATGCCTGTGAGGCCTCCTACAGTAAACAGGAAAATAAACCCCAGGGACCAAAGAAGTGGAGTCTCTCATTTGATTGCACCCCCATGTAAGGTTGCTAGTCAGCTAAATACTTTTACCCCTGTTGGGATGGCGATAATTATTGTAGCAGAGGTGAAGTATGCTCGTGTATCAACATCCATTCCAACAGTAAACATATGGTGGGCTCAGACAATGAATCCTAGTAGTCCAATGGCCATTATAGCCCACACTATGCCCATATAGCCAAATGGTTCTTTTTTACCTGCATAATAGGCAACAATGTGGGAGATCATGCCAAAGCCTGGGAGGATAAGAATGTATACTTCTGGATGCCCAAAGAATCAGAACAGGTGTTGGTAGAGAATGGGGTCTCCTCCTCCTGCAGGATCAAAGAAGGTTGTGTTTAAGTTTCGGTCTGTTAAAAGCATTGTAATGCCAGCAGCTAGTACTGGTAAGGATAGAAGTAGAAGTACAGCTGTAATCAGGACAGCTCATACAAATAGGGGAGTTTGGTATTGTGAAATAGCAGGGGGTTTTATGTTTAAAATTGTTGTAATAAAGTTGATGGCTCCAAGAATTGAAGAAACTCCAGCTAAGTGGAGGGAGAAAATAGTGAGGTCTACAGAAGCACCTGCGTGGGCTAGGTTTCCTGCAAGTGGGGGATATACTGTTCATCCAGTTCCTGCTCCAGCTTCTACCCCTGAAGATGCAAGGAGAAGAAGGAATGAGGGAGGGAGTAGTCAAAAGCTCATGTTATTTATTCGAGGAAAGGCCATGTCGGGGGCTCCAATCATTAGAGGTACTAGTCAGTTTCCAAATCCTCCAATCATGACAGGTATTACTATAAAGAAAATTATTACAAAGGCATGAGCTGTAACAATTACATTGTAGATCTGGTCATCACCCAGGAGAGCACCCGGTTGACTAAGTTCGGCACGGATTAAAAGGCTCAGAGCTGTGCCCACTATCCCGGCTCAGGCACCAAATACTAGATACAGGGTGCCAATGTCTTTGTGATTAGTCGAAAAGAATCAGCGTGTGATTGCCACAGGTAAAATGGCTGAGTGTTTAAGTGGTGGGTTGTAGCCCCATAAACAGAGGTTTGACTCCTCTTTTTACCAAGCCCTGGGGTGTAAACATGTAAGATTGCAAATCTTGAGATGCAGATTGACGTCTGCCGGGGCTTTCCCCCGCCTTTGTCCCCAGCAGGCGGGGGAAAGGTAGATGGATGCTCGCTGGTTAGGGCGTTTAGCTGTTAACTAAAAGTTTGTAGGATCGAGGCCTTCCCATCTAGAAAGGCTTTAGCTTAATTAAAGTGTCTGTTTTGCATGCAGAAGATGTGGGTTAGTGTCCTGCAAGTCTTATTCAGGGGCTGGGAGATTTTCACTCCCGCTTAAGGCTTTGAAGGCCTTTGGTCTAGTGTTATCCTAAGCCTCTTTAGAGGTTTATAAGGGCTATAATTGCAGGGGATAGGGGTAGAAGAAGGATTGTTGCAGGGGTGGAAAGGGCTAGGAGGAGGGAGGGTTGATTGGGGGGTAGTCGTCATAGGCTTGTCCCGGCTGTGTTGTTTGGGGGTATTGTTAAGGTTATTGCATAGCAGAGGCGTAGGTAGAAGTAAAGGCTTAATAGGGCAGTTATAGCTGCAATTACAGCTGTTGTAGGGAGTTGTTGTTTTGTCAGTTCTTGTAAAATAAGTCATTTTGGTAGGAAGCCTGTTATTGGGGGAAGGCCTCCTAGTGAAAGGAGAACTAGGGGGGTGGCAGCTGTAAGTAGGGGGGCTTTGGCCCACGATGTTGACAAGGCATTGATGTTTGTTGCTTTATTATTTTTTAAAGTTAAGAATGCTGCAGTTGTTATGACTAAATATGTTAGGAGGGCAAGAAGGGTGAGGGAGGGGGCGAATTGAATAATAAGGAGTATTCAGCCAAGGTGGGCAATTGAAGAGTAAGCTAGAATTTTTCGTAGTTGTGTTTGGTTAAGTCCTCCTCACCCTCCAATTAATGTGGATGTTAGGCCTAGGATGATTAGAAGTTCTTGGTTAGGACAGGGTATTTGGAGGAGAAGGGCAAATGGGGCCAGTTTTTGTCAGGTTGATAGAATTAGGCCTGTGGTCAGGGTGAGTCCTTGGAGGACTTCTGGTAATCAGGTGTGAAGAGGGGCTAAGCCAAGTTTAAGGGCTAAGGCAAGGGTAATCATAGTTGTGGGGACAGGGTGAGTTATTAGTGTGATGTCTCACTGGCCTGTAAGCCAGGCATTGGTAATGCTTGCAAATAATAGGGTAGCTGCGGCTGTTGCCTGGGTGAGAAAATACTTAGTAGTTGCTTCAATTGCTCGGGGGTGGTGGTTTTGGGCTATTAGGGGGATGATGGCTAGGGTGTTAATTTCTAAGCCTATTCAGGCTAGAAGTCAGTGTGAGCTGGAGGCAGTAATGCTAGTGCCTAAAACTAGCCCAAAGATGAGAAGGGCTGTGATGTAGGGGTTCATTAGCAAAGGAAGGGGTTTAACCAACATGTTTGGGGTATGGGCCCAAAAGCTTATTTAGCTGACTTTACTAGGAAGTGGTGTAGTGGAAGCACTAAGAGTTTTGATCTCTTCAGATTGGGTTCAAGTCCCTTCTTCCTAAGGAGGCGGAGGGACTTTAACCCTCATTTTTCACTCTATCAAAGTGGTCCTTTATTTCAGGCACGGCTCCTGTTTTAGAGTTGAGGGGGTAAGCCTGCAAATGCTACAGGGAGAGAAAGGTGTCAGATTACAAGGGCTAAGGTTAGTGGGAGGAAGTTTTTTCAAATGAGGTGCATGAGTTGATCATATCGGAAGCGGGGGTAGGAGGCTCGTACTCATAGGAATAAGACTGATAGTAGGGCTGCTTTAGTTATTAGGTTAATTGTTGTAATTTCTGGGTAGTATGGAAGGTGGGAGGCTCCTAGGAATAGTGTTGCAGAAAGTGTATTTATTAGGAGAATGTTAGCATATTCTGCAAGGAAGAATAGGGCAAATGGGCCGCCTGCATATTCTACATTGAAGCCTGAAACAAGCTCAGATTCTCCTTCTGTTAAGTCAAATGGGGCTCGATTTGTTTCTGCTAGGGTTGAGATGTATCATATTGCAGCTAGGGGTCAGGCTGGGAATACTAGTCAGATGCTTTCTTGTGTGATGTTAAATGTTTGTAGAGCAAAGCCTCCTGTAAAGATGATTGTGCTTAGTAAAATTAGTCCAAGGCTGACTTCATAGGAAATTGTCTGTGCAACTGCTCGTAGTGCTCCAATGAGGGCATATTTGGAATTAGAAGCTCATCCAGCACCCAGGATAGAATACACTGCTAGGCTTGAGAGGGCGAGGATAAATAGGATGCTTAGGTTTAAGTCAGTAACGGGGTGGGGTAAAGGTATAGGGGCTCAAAGGGTTAGTGCTAGGGTAAGGGCTAGTGTGGGGGCTAAGAGGAAAAGGAATGGGGAGGCTGTGGAAGGGCGTACAGGTTCTTTGATAAAAAGTTTAACACCATCTGCAATTGGTTGAAGAAGGCCATAGGGGCCTACTACATTAGGGCCTTTTCGTAGTTGCATGTATCCTAGTACTTTTCGTTCTAATAGTGTAAGAAATGCAACAGCTAGTAGGACAGGGACAATGTATGCAAGGGGGTTAATGATGTGTGTTAAGATTGTGGATATCATAGTTAAGGAGAGGACTTGAACCTCTGTTTAAAGGGCTTAGGTCTTTTGCATTTTTCCGGGCTCTGCCACCTTAACTTGCCTTTTTCTTTGGCAAAAGAAGGGGTGCCCTATTACCTAATTTAGTTGATTTCATTGGGTGGGGGTAGGGCTTACTTTGAGCAGGGGCCCTCTCTTTTCGGTCCTTTCGTACTAGAAAAGAGCACAGCATAGATAGAAACTGACCTGGATTTCTCCGGTCTGAACTCAGATCACGTAGGACTTTAATCGTTGAACAAACGAACCCTTAATAGCGGCTGCACCATTAGGGGGTCCTGATCCAACATCGAGGTCGTAAACCCCCTTGTCGATATGGGCTCTAAAAGGGGATTGCGCTGTTATCCCTAGGGTAACTCGGTCCGTTGATCGGCTTAGCCGGATCTTTTTGGTCAGATATTCTGTTAGTGAGAGCTGTGGCTCTAGCTTTAAGGGTATAATCCCTATTCCACATGGGGGTTTTTTGTTTCCCCGCGGTCGCCCCAACCAAAGACAGGAGGGCAGATACCATCTTGTTGTTTCCATTTATCTGGGGTTTTAACATGGGCTGCCTTTTGTCTAAAGCTCCATAGGGTCTTCTCGTCTTATGTTAATATCCCCGCTTCTGCACGGGGGGATCAATTTCATTGACTAGAAAAAGGAGACAGCTTGGCCCTCGTTATGCCATTCATACTGGTCTCCATTTAAAAGACAAGTGATTACGCTACCTTCGCACGGTCAAAATACCGCGGCCGTTAAACTAACAAGTCACAGGGCAGGCGGGACCTCTTATATATTTGATTGCAAGAGGCGATGTTTTTGGTAAACAGGCGAGGCCAGTGTTTGCCGAGTTCCTTCTTTTTCTTTTAGTCTTTCCTTGGGCACACCTGTGTGGGGTTAACGCTGAGGTTTTGGGGGGTTTTCTGGGTTAAATTAGTTTTCTCACTTCCCTCTTGGGTTGGGGGCGTTAATTTTCAGTGTGAGTTCGTTCTGATGTAAGCAGGTGCCTTGGAGGGGGTCTTAGCCCCCTTATTACTCATGTTAGCAGTGTCTCTTTTATGTTTGCATAAGAGGGCCTACTATTAAGTTAGGGGCTTAAGATAGGGGTGTCAGTATTTGGGGTGGGGCAGGGTACTTGAGCTTTAACGCTTTCTGTGTGGGTGGCTGCTTTTAGGCCTACTAAGGTATGTTGCCTTTTGGTTTTTGATCTTTAGCCTTCTTAAAAAGTTGTGTCTTTTTTCAAGGGGGGTGTACCCCCCTTGAATAACTCTTTTATCTTCTTAGTATCAGTTTGGGGTATAATCAGTGTTGAATAAAGAATATAAAAGGCTGAACTTCTGTTCATTTTGTAGGTAACCAGCTATAACTGGGCTCGTTAGGTCTGTCACCTCTACTCTAAGCTCATCCCACTCTTTTGCCACAGAGACGGGTTAGCCCTAATAGGCAGTCTTGGAGTAGCTCGCTCAGTTTCGGGGGTTCAAACTAAAGTGCTCTTTGCTTGAAGGTTTCTGGCTAATTCATGATGCAAAAGGTACGAGGGTTAGTCTCTGCTTTTTTTCTCTTTACTGGGTTGTTTCATTTCTCTTTCAGCTTTCCCTTGCGGTACTTTTTCTATTGCGTCTTGTTCCTTTTCTATCACCTATACTAAGGGGGAAAAATGGTTTGTTTGGTTGTTTTGGGGTTTTGGGTTTAATTAATGTTTGTTTGTTGATTTTGGGGTGGTGAGCTAGCTGTTGGGAGGATTTTGGTTCAGTGTGGCCCGATTTGCACGGGAATCTTCTCAGTGTAAGGGAGATGCTATTCTACTTAAGCTACACTCTGTTTTTTCCAAGTGCACCTTCCGGTACACTTACCATGTTACGACTTGCCTCCCCTTTGTTTTTGTAGGCTTTTATTTATTAAGATGATTTGTTTGGGGAGAGTGACGGGCGGTGTGTGCGCGCTTCAGGGCCAGTTTCAGGGGGACACTCTATTTCACCCCTTACTGCTAAATCCTCCTTTAGATGTTTGTTTCAGTCCATCATCCGTATTCACTGTAGCAGTGAATGTAGCCCATTTCTTCCCCTCTCGTTGGCTACACCTCGACCTGGCGTTTTAGGTATTACCAATTGTGCTCACTTTGGGCCCTTCACAGGGTAAGCTGACGACGGCGGTATATAGGCGGAAAATACAAGAGAGGGTGAGGTTTAACGGGGGTCATCGGTTCTAGAACAGGCTCCTCTAGGGGGGTCTAAAGCACCGCCAAGTCCTTTGGGTTTTAAGCTGTAGCTCGTAGTTCCCTGGCAAATGAGGGTGTAAGATGTGATTTGAGTTTAGGGCCAGGCATAGTGGGGTATCTAATCCCAGTTTGTTTCCTGGCTTTCGTGGAGTTGTATTGTTTAAAGCCACTTTCGTGGGGGTTCTTCCTGCCTTCGATAGCATATGACAACTTTGAAGGTGTTTGGCTTTAGTTGGGTATTTTACTAACCACTTTTTACGCCGTTGGTTTGTCAACTTGGGCCTCTCGTATAACCGCGGTGGCTGGCACGAGTTTTACCGGCCCTCTTGATTTTAACTAAGTCAAGTTTTCACTTATAGCTTAATGTTTACTACTGCTGAGTTCCCTTGGGGGTGTGGCTAAGCAAGGTGTTGTGGGCTAACTTGGGGTTGTGCCTAATACCTGCTCCTTAATTCCGGTAGGGAATAAGTAGGGCATTCTCACAGGGTTGCAGATACTTGCATGTATAAATTAAATCAAAGCTGACAGTAAAGTCAGGACCAAGCTTTTGTGCTTATGGGGCTTTCTAGGGCCCATCTTAACATCTTCAGTGTTATGCTTTAGTTAAGCTACATTAGC